ACTGGAGTAATGGCTGCTGAAAATTCAGCTTTGCCATCACAGAAAATAAATTACATTTTTAAGTATATTAAAAAAAGAATTACTGACCCCAAAGTTTTGAGCAATAGTGAATAAAGTCATAAAGGTGAAACTATAACATTTGCTCACAAACCCGCAGCAATCTTCTCACCTGAGAGACTGATAATGCCAACACATCACATTTTGTGACATTATGGCTTTTGATTAGTGTACCAGTTTGATCATCCCACAATTTGACCATTCCCACAGAGTCACCAGTGATGATTGTCCCATCTGAGAGGTAGACCACACTCCACACCACACACTCCTTACTGCGGGATGTCCCGACCCCTCTGTCAGCCAGCATCCTGTGCATAGAGTGGCCTGAAAAACATATCAAACACTTGATTACATTCATATATTCCAGTTTATGTACTAATTCTACATCACTGAATACAATAATACATTCTGGAAGAAAGACGCTGTTTACCTGTCTCTACATTAAAAACCTGGACCATATCCATCATTCCAGCTGCTATTTTGGAGCCTGATGGGTGCCAAGACAGAGAGACGATGCGGCCTATGGAACAGGTAATCAGATGTTCAGATTTAAATTTTTTTTTTTTTAAATGCAATAACAAATCATGACATTCTTATGAAAGTTTCAAATATGACCACAATCTCACTTTTTTGCCTGTCCAGATTTCTCTCAAACTGTATGTTGTCTTCATTCACCTCAAACAGTTTCACAGTTCCATCTTCACAACCAACCTACAAACATTAAAAACACAAAAACTGAACAAACGTCTTTTTATGAAGTACACTTTAGCACACATTTAAACAGCACTTACTACAGGAATAATATAATTAACAAGAATGTACTTACGTGTGAGCTGAATGTAATATTTATTTACAATTCAATGAAAATATGTTATAGTTTAAATTTATTTCAAATGCAAACAGTTGAACTTGAAGAGTGATAATTAAGAGTGATTAATAAGAGAAACAGTCATAAAAGTGTACTTTCTTTAAGTACCATTAAGTGGCCTTTTATTTCATTAGTATTATATAATATGCAAGTAAAGCTTTTTTTAAATATTTTTTAGATTTGAGGTACACTACAAGTGCACATTCAATACAATTATGCATACTTCTTTTTCACAAGTGTTTGCTTGCATTATCTTACCTTAAAATAAATGTAATTTGTTTTTAAATTAATTTTTCATTATCTAATGCAATGACATATATACATTAAGCTAGGGCTGGACGATATGGCCAAAATTTATATCACGATATAT